ACGCTCACCGCCTCCAGCACCTCAAAAATAATAAGGCCTCCCCGAAAATATTGCAACACAGCAGCCGCATGAGGTGACCACGCTCACCGCCTCCAGCACCTCAAAAATAATAAGGCCTCCCCGAAAATAAGACAGGGTCTTATTTTCTTTTGACCCCCGAAATAAGCGCTTGGCCTTATTTTCGGGGAGGCCTTATTATTTTTGAGGTGCTGGAGGCGGTGAGCGTGGTCACCTCATGCGGCTGCTGTGTTGCAATATTTTCGGGGAGGGCTTATTTTAGCGCATGCGCTCAAAAGCCTGATTGGGCTTATTATCCGGGGAGGTCTTATATCGGGGAAACAGGGTGATTTTTCGTCCCTGGCCCACTCCCGTTGCTCCACTCCTGTTAATAAGGGAGATAAGCCTCCAAATGTATTAGTTTATTGCAAAAAAAATCAGCAGGTTTTTATCTTACTAAAAGATGGAGAATGAAATAAAAGTGGAAAACTGCCACCTTACATTCATTTTATGAAGGGTAATCCAGAGAATTTCTTATTTCTACTGGGAGTTTGTTTATAGGAAATTGGAAAAGGTTTAAAATCATCACCATGTAATGACCCCCAAATCCCTTGCGGGCTGGAGTATAAATGGAGCTAACAAGAGTGTTTTAATTGTCCAGATGCCCTTCCTGTCGCCAATGCGGAGTTTTGTTCAACAGATAATAATCTCAGTGTTCCCAGAGAGAAAAGGTTTAAAATAAGAACCGTATATTCATGTAACTACTGTTAGTCCTTGACTTACGACTACAATTGGAACCAGGATTTCCAAGGTAGTTGTTAAGAGAATCACAGCCGAAATCAAGGATTACCTGTATGAATAGGGATTCTAACTCCTCCTTGAGAGACAGATCCAGATTTAAAACCAGTAAGAAACAAACAAACAAAAAAATCAAACAAAAATGTCTTTTTAAATTATTTATTCTAAAAGTATATTATTATATAATAATTGCATTATTATAATAAAATTATAGAATATTATACAAAGCTGTTGTATAATAATACAATTATATTATTATATTAATATTATAAAATCTTGTAAAACTATATTATAATGTAATAATACAATTATATTACTATAATTATATAACATGGTATTAGTATTATTTAAGATTATATTATTATGTAATAACACAGTTATATTACTGTAATATTAATATTATATGATTATAGTATAATGTAATAATACTATTATATTACTGTAAGATTATTATATAGTATTGTAAGATTATATTATTATATAATACATATTACTATAATATTAATACTATTAATATTAATATTAATTAATATTATATGCTTATATTATAATGTAATAATACAATTATATTACTATAATTATATAATGCAGTATTAGTATTATATAAAAGTATATTATTATATAGTAACACAGATATTACTATAATATTAATATTATATGCTTATATTATAATGTAATAATACAATTATATTACTGTAATATTATTGTTATATAGTATTGTAAGATTATATTATTATATGATACATATTACTATAATATTAACACTATTAATATTAATTAATATTAATATATGCTTATATTATAATGTAATAATACAATTATATTACTGCAATATTATTGTTATATAGTATTGTAAGATTATATTATTATATGATACATATTACTATAATATTAATATTAATTAATATTAATATTATACTATTATGTTATAATGTAATAATACAATTATATTACTGCAATATTATTATATAGTATTGTAAGATTATATTATTATATAATACATATTACTATAATATTAATATTATATGATTATGTTATAATGTAATAATACAATTATATTACTGTAATATTATTATTATATAGTATTGTAAGATTATATTATTATACAATACATATTACTATAATATTAATATTGCATAGTATTATAGTATATTATTACATAATAATGCAATTATATTACTAATATTAATTTTATATAGTCTTGCACAATTATATTATAATGTAATAATGCAATTGTATTACTGTAATACGGGTGTTAGTATTATATAAGATTATTTTGTTATGTGATAATACATATTATTATAACCTTAATCTCATATAATATTATATTATTATATGATAATACAGGTGGCCTTCTCTATGTGAAGAAGATGTAGACTCGAATTCAGCTGCTCACTGGCCCCTTTTGAGTTATCGGCTTCCCTCCAGTAACTTTATGTTCTTTTGATTCTGTTTCCAGTCATCACAATATTTAAAGGCAAAGTGGAAGAAATTGACTTGCCTGTGGACAAAGTAGATATCATAATCAGTGAATGGATGGGCTACTCCCTTTTCTATGAGTCCATGCTTAATACAGTCATCTTTGCCCGGGACAAGTGGCTGGTAGGCGCTTGGTATCTTCTACCCTATTAGCTTCTTAGAAGGTCTTTTAAAGGTTGGTTCCAGAGTGACAGGTGTCACCTGACTTCAGGGGCAATTAAAATGTTAATGCCAAGGATTATATTTACTACTTTGTTGTGCCTGTTAAAATGGATGTGTATATATCACCTTTCCTTAATCATCACTATACAATGTATCATGTGTAAAGTATATTGGTTATAATGCAATACTTCCAGCACTGATGTTGTTACCTAGTTGGGTAATGAAACGTCTGCAAGAAAACAACAAAGCTCAGAGAACACCAAGGACCCCACAGCCCTCCTCCTCTTCCTCCTCCTCTTCCTCCTCCTCTTCCTCCTCCTCTTCCTCCTCCTCT